CCACTCCGAGAAATCGACGCGCGCATGACAGAAAACGCCAAAAAATTTGACCTTTCTACCCTTCCTGGCTTTTGCTCCACGTCCCCCTGACCTGGACCCCCCTTGAGAGGGTCCAGGCTCAAGGTTTGGGCTCTTGCGGTAGAGATTGACATATGGGATTAAAACCGAATTAGACAGAGACATGTCGGCCAACTGTGCAAGGCCGTCGTTGAGGTACACTCGAGCCGTACGTGCTGCGGCCCAACGGCCTTGCGCGAGCAATTTATCGAACGAACCGTGCTGGTTAAACCAAAACGTCGCGCCCCCTCTGCGCAGACTGTAAGGTCGAAAGTGCAGGTCATTCAATTTGAGTGCCTCAATGGCTTTGGTGAACAACGCCCGCCATGCGTGTGGCTTGGGGGTTAAAAATTTTGACGGGGCACTGACTTGTTTCCATTTCCAGAGGTCTGGGAGGATCGATCGCTCATGAAGCGTCACGCTCTCGGCCGCCCCCTGGCAAGCTCCTCCCTTAGTCAGCCCCAACGAAAGGACTGCTGGCCCCTTCGGCCCGGGAATGAATACGTCTTTTGCCCGTAGGCTCAGCAATTCTCCAGCGCGAAGTAGTCCATAAAAGGCTATCCGTAAGGATAATCCAAATTCAGGGCATCCTTTGAAAATGGACCATCCACATAATGCATCTAGAATTTGAAGGGTCATAGGTGGCGCCCGGTTGGGGATTTCAACGGTGGTCCAGGCCTTGAGAAGTCTCCAACTTCCTGGGAGTTTCTTCTTAAGCGAAGGGTCGCGGTCTTGTAGGGCGGCTAGAGTGTTGTTAGCAATGGACCTACCTTCTCCAGAAGCCCAGAGATGTTCCAGGTAGTCGCTCACCAGCCCGTCCAGTCGGGCCTGCTGCTTTGGGAGGACTAACCCCTCCCCTGTCATCCAGTCGAAGAAGCGGTTGAGACATTCAGTGTAACGCTGCCTTGTACGGGGCTGGACTGTTAGCCCTTTGAGAGAACCTAACTTGTTTCGAACCTTCTTTCGCTCCTGTTGGCTTTTCCCTTCCATCACTTTCGTAGTTGTTTTACCCATTTCTTGCGAAGGGGTCGGCGCGAGGGCCGATCGGCGGGGTTCTGGTGGGTATCCACGTAACCCCACACAGCAACAAGACCTCCTGCCAACTGAAGCGCTCCGATTCGACACAACGTTCTCCTCAACCTTCTGCTTGACGATCTCCCCCGGGACAAGGCATGCAACACAACCAAGGAATCAACCAAGTGCAAGAACCGACAGTCATTTTCCTCCAGCTCCTTCAACCTCCAAACGATGGCTGTTTTGACCGCTCGTAGCTCAAGGGCATTGATGTGCTCGATGTCCCCGGTCCAGCGCCAGCCAGCGACATCCTTCCACCTCCAGAGTTTGCTTGGGGTGGACGCCCTCAACCGATGATAACGAGCTGGGAGATCTGACCCCAATTGGAGCAGGATGTCCTCTCCCTTGACTGAGACTTGACCCATCAAGCGAACCACTAACCCAGACTGTGCAACACCCGGCTTCGTAGTTTGCCTCATGGGGGGCCTCATCAGAAGGCTGGGCAAGTACTGTTCTCGCCCAGGCGTCAACCTGTCCACAAGTGTAGCAAGCCTCAACTCTGGGATCAGCCCCAACGTCCGGAACAGGCAATACACCAAGTACGCAACCACGGGAATTGACCAACTATTTCCAAGAAGAGTCAACCGGCAATCGTTGTGAGCTGCACTTCCTTCCAGGCTCTTGACTAAACACCTCCGGGTGCAATCCATGGGAAAACCTAGGATCACCTCTCTTTCCCTAGTCGACGGAACACGCAACTCTCCTTGTCGGTTGACGACGCAATTTTCCTCACGATATTGGTACGGCGGAAAGCGATGGAGATCGCCCTTCCACCTGGCCACTGCATCCGAGGGACAGAGTGCCAACCCTGCTGGTCGGCGTCCTGGAGTTGCCGAAGGTCGAGCCGTGGTAAAAGTGGGGAAAGGAGTTTCCGGCCGGGTTCGCTGCCAGCCAGGTTCCAGGAAATCACGTTCATCTACCTTTGCCTCCAGCAGTACCTTACCTTTAATTGGGAGAGCGCCTTCCCTCCCCTCGACGACCTGTGCACCTTCAAGTGACAACGGCTCCCAACTGCACCAGTACAGCCGGGGTCGACGGGCCAAGGTGAGCCCACCGGCATCAATGCTCCAAGGCATAGTGTCGTAGGCCGCTGACATAGTCTGGCAATCGCTAGCGTCCATGGAGGCAACGTTCTCAACAAGCCGGTGCACTGGGCACCATTTGAAGTGCTCTCGGAGGAGGGTCTCTATCCTAGGGACGTGCTGGAACAAGCAAGATCTCTCATCTTTCAAAGCCCCTTTCCGGTCTGAGTTTAACCCCGAGACGCCTTGACAAGGCGGGCCAGCACCCAGAAGCACAAGTCCAACGTTGGCAAACCGCAACCTCCACTGCAAAACATCTTCACTTGTCACCCTAGCGACATCCCCTACGCACACCACGTCCGGGAAGAAGGACTCCACCACACGGTTGGCCTCTGGAGAAATCTCAACCGACACATACCCTCCTACCGGCACACGCAGGGCATCCAAGGCAACTCTAAGGGCGCCAATGCCATCGAAGAGTGAGACAACGAGCACCTGGTCCATTTCCTCCGGCTCTATGACATCTCCCCGACATTCAGCATGGCACGCTGCAACTCCAAATGGACTAAGTTCCCTAGAGACGCAGAGACCTCCTCCCGTGGTGGATGCATCGCTGGCAGTCACCAATTCTGAGGTGCTTAATCTGAAATCCATATAGGATAAAGGACTCAAGGCGACAAAGCGAAGCAGCTCGATCATGACCTCCTGCGGCAATGCTCTCCGCGCTACTGGACCAATCTTGCCCAAGTCAGTGATTTGCTTCCACACAGCGTTCAACCCGGACAACAACGGTCTTCGGAACATTGCAATGTATACAAAACCTCCTCCGACCACTTGCAGCGGGAGCTGCGACGCCCTACCAGCCACACAGACCTCAACTGCAAGCCGAACATACCTACCTACCTTGTCCAACTTCGGAGTAGCACGACCTAAATCACCGTCAACCCAAGCGCCTTGTACTTCAGCACGGATCTCCTGCGTAACTGCCTTCTTTGGATGTCGTGGCAACCCCAACTGTTGGTAGGTCTCACGCACTGCCAGGGTTCATGCCGACGGAGTTCCCTCCAGTGTCCCTGCCAACCTTTTGTCCATCTTGTTCAACTCATCATAGTTGTCGAGATAGACCCTATACTGGTGCCCTGCCGAGCTTTGTTGGCGGTCTCTCCGAATTTCTTGTTGCCTGCTGGCGAGCCTCCTATCGCCCCCCAGCGCCTGCTGGATCACCCGACGGTGGACATGCTGTGCGATTGCCACAGAGTTAATGAACCCCATGGGCAAGACCCTGCTAACAAGGTGCCAGCCTCTGCCAGTGTAACCTGCTGGGAGGCCCTCTGGGGGGACCTCCCGTCCAAAACCCATGAAGCGGTGCCATTCTGGGGGTGTCCGAAATAGGTAAAAGAAACACCTTATATCTTCAGAGGAAGTCAAGAGCAGCTCCCCATCTGCAAGGACTGTTCCAGACATCCCTGTAACCGTAGGCAGAGTTGAAGTGTCCCCCACCAAATTTCGGCACAGCCCGTTGGTTGGCACTAAGTTCATGATTAGTCGGCAGACCTTGAATTCTTCGCCTCCTTCATCCACTGCTCTTTCACCCTTCTCTACTGCAAATAATCCATTAAGAACTGGACGCCCCTTCACATGAAAAAGATCATCCCTCTTCATGAGTCCACAAACCCCCCGATCGACCAGTCCCAGGCACACCTCCGCCCAGTGCTCTTGGCCCACCATTGTGGCTGGCGTCTTTCCCAGGCTTTGATCCTGGGGCGGCAAGAGGAATCTTTCGAAATCGGACACGTAGGAACGGGTGCCACCCTCACAAAAGCCCAACAAATCCAGAGAACCTACACCCTCCGGGAAAGCCGCGGCGACCATCTTCCATTGGAACGACCTTGCCACTCGGACCTCTTCGCCTGAATAGTCGATGCCCTTTGTGGTGAAAAACTCTCCAAAGGTGAGAGGGGGAAGAACTGTGCGGGGTAAGCTGCTGGACTTAAGCACAACTCTCAAGCGCTCTAAAATCCTCCTCTGAACCTTTGAAACCTTCTTCTCACTGTCTGATCCAACCCCAAATAAACTGTTCAACCCTCTGACCAGACCGTCCAATAAGGGATCCTCGTCCTCACACCATCCTAGCCTTCCTGGAAGTGGGAGAGGAAAGATACCCTCCGTGGACTGCCCGCAACGCGTGGTCTTCGACAATACCTCCAGGGACTTCGATAGTGCGGGGCCCAGATCACCCCACAAGCTTTCTTTTTTGGCGCAAGCGCTCATCAATGTCTCCTGCCATGACATGTGGCCATCAAGCTCTGTCAATGCCTCTTCCTCGCGGCACGGGTTCAAAGCCAGTCGCGAAGTGGGCTGCCATGCAAACTGGGAGGGAACGTTTCCCTCCCCTGTACTCCTATCGGAAACTCCTCCAGCAGAAAAACGGCGCTGTCCACGATCCATACCTGTGGATTGCTTACTCCATCCTTCAAACTGGGAGGGTCCTCCATCCTCCCTTCCCCAGCCCGGCTCATCAAGCGGTCGTTTCTGCCTCCTCGACGAACCTCCAGGGTTATAATTTCTGCCCGCCTCCTCTTGCACATTCCTCTGACATTCGTTCAGCATCTCTTCAATTGCCCTTTCCATATCTTTCTCCTCACCTTCTTGCCTATCCTGTACTATTGACCTGCCCTCTGACACTTCACGGGAGTCTTTCCCCACTCTGCATCCCTCTGTCCTGTTGCCAGCCTTCTCTACCTCAGCCTCCCTCCTCATTGCTCGTCTTTTGCCTTCTTTCCCCATTTTCCTTTGTCCTTCCCTCTTCCTTTCTCTCCTCCTTCCTGCTTATATGAGGGCTCTGAGGTAGGGACTGGCTTTCCTCGACCTTTGGGATGCGCTTCTCCTTCTCCACGTTGGCTCAAACCATGAGGTCGGTTGCCGATCGAGCGGTTTCGAAACTCATCACGGGCACTCTTCGCTGCCTCCACCTGCTCTGCGGGTTCCGAAATCCTGATTTGCTCGGCATTCACCAACTCCAGTTGACGCGACACTGAATAGTGGCCACCTCGTAAGGTGGCTTCGAGAGACTTCGCACGTTGGACGAGCACGTCCATCGCCGTGGCCACCTTTCTTCGCAACAGCAAATCGGTAACCTGAGCAACCGTCAGCAATTCCTGCCACATCACCGGGCTTGCTAAGCCTTGCAAGTGCTGGTGCGCGTACATACTGAAAAGCGGACTCAATTGCTCCCTGGAAATGCTGTGCAACTCGCCCCTCGAGGATAAAAGGTGTTCACGAACGTTGTCGATGGCCTGTGCCGTCAAGGCCCCCGGGCATTTCTCACTCAACCGACGCAGCCTCCTTGTTTCTTCGAAGAGCGGTCCTTCCCCCTCCGAATCGTCTTTCTCCTCTGAGGTGGTCGAAGTCGAAGAGCCTGACCCGCTAGAACCGGACCTTTTCCGCTTCTTCTCCTTTTTCTTGCTCACCCTTCGCGCCCTCTTCATCAACCGCTTTCGCCTTGGGACGTTGGGATCAAGGCAAGTGTGGCTGAACAGCGCCCGGGCCGTCTTCTGCCCCCGCTCCAGCTCCTCTGTCTCTTCACGCTTGGCCAGGAGCTCATCATATTCTTTTTCAGCCTCTCTTTCCTTTTTCCTCTTCTTCTTGTCTTTCTTCTTGGGCTCACCCGTAGGCGACTTGCTCCTCCTCACCTTCTCCTCTTCTTCTTCCCTGGGAGGTTTGTCGCCTCCCTTGCCCTTGCCTCTCTCCATTGCAAGCACCCTCAAACCCGCCAGCTCGTCCACCTCCAAATCCTCTTTTCCTTTAGCTGGTATCAGGTTTGTATGCCATGGCTTCGGCGCAACACTGCAATCCCAATAGCCTCGACTGTGGAAGTAGTCGTCGCCGGTGGTCAACTGTGCACACCCCGCAGGACAGACATGAACTTTGACAGTCCGTGACCTGCTCCCACCAAAACGCTCTAGAATGCGCTCTGTCATAGTCCCAGTCAACTCAAAGCTCAACTCCTCCTCACCAGGGTTCAGGCTACGGATTCTCCCTGCTACCTTGGCGTGTGCACCATAGTACGAAGTCTCCCCCAACTCCACAATGTCCAACGTCCTCAACCTGTCTAGTGTCAACGAAGTCAAGGCATTGTACTCCTCAGTGATAGGCTTATCCTCTCCTTTCTCTTCTTCTGCAACCCGCCCAGCCGGCCGTCGAGCCACTCTGACCCGGGCCGGTGCTGCTGCAGGCCGTCTCACTTTGGGAGCCATTGCTCCCTTTACCAACGCCCTCTGTATTGCTTTCTCTCAAAGATCTCCTGCTTAGCCCTCTTCGTCACCCCCTTGTTGGTGCCTTCCGTCCAACGAGGATGATGTGAATAGGGGATAGCGCCTCTCCAACCCTTTCCTTGTCCACTGCCTCGTCCTCCTCCGGGATGAGATGAAGTGGCCCTTGGGGGCGGATGATCCGGCGTCTTTGGCGATCTTGGCTCTCGCTGGCTAGGCCTGGGACGTAGGTACCCCTCACGCTGGATCCCACTGCTGGGCCTGGCCTTGCTCTCGTCCTCTCGTCTATCTCCTCTCTGGGAGTCAAAGTCCTCCCTTTTCTTCTTTCTCACGTCTGAGCCACTGACTGATCTTGACCCACTTTCTTTCTTCCTCTTCTTACGCTTGTCCTTCTCCTTCTGATAGTTGGGAGTCTTAGATCTCTCCCTTCTGCTCCTATCCTCCTCTCTCCTCCGGGGCAATGCTTTCTTTTCCTCACTCTGCTGAACTTCCTTTACCTTTTCCTCCTTCTTTGCAACCTCCTCTGACTTTACAGGCTCTCCTGTCTGCACCTTCTCCTTGGACTCCTTCCTTTCGCCCGAATGGCCCTTGGGAGATCCCTCTCCCCTGGTGCTGTCTCCTCCGGCGCCTTCTCCTCGACCTCTCTCCTCCACTGGCTTGTTCGCCTTTTCCGCCTTCTTCAGGCTGGGAGATCCTTCTCCCTTTTCCGGACTGTCGTCTTCCGGCACCAACCTCGAGATCGAATAGAAGGCCGAGTCCAGTACCTTGGTTACTTTCGCCTCTGCCTCGTAGGTGGGTGGAATACGAGGATTGGCGATCGAGGCAAGTAACCTTTCAGCCGAGGTGCAAACTGGACACCTGTCTGCGAGTAGCGGCCACTTGGCACACTTCTCACAGATGGGCATTCCCGTTCGAGCCCAAAGCTACGTGGGATAACCAACTGATTCGTGTTTAGTTATGGGGACATTCAACCATACACGCGCACAGGGGCGCATATAGAAGAACAACGTGTATATTTATATATATATACACACACACACAACCGTGTGCGTTTGTGTGCATATGGTGCTCTTTGCCTGCAGTGGAGGGACTCCAACCTCGGCATCTCTCAGGCGTGCCATGGTGAGGACATGTGTCGGCGACTGCAAGGATGAGGACTCGAAGGGGGACGATTACAAGAACAGAAAGACATGTGTCCTTCTTTGCACCTCTTTGCCTTTCTTGGTGTCCCTTCTTTTTCTCTTTCTTGCCTTTTCCTCATTTCAGACTTTCTTCTTTTATTGATGTACATGCTTTTCCTATGGCGCTGGTGGGGATCGAGCTCATAGCGAAGGCCCTCCTCAGCAATCCGTCGAGCCTTATTGCCGCGACATGTATGGACTAACCAAGGTGGGTTGCCTGCACTCGCTGGGGATGTTTGTTTCAAGTCCTCACCTGTCTTGCAGTCTTGCATAATTAGGCCTCGTGCTGCCTCTCTTTTCACATCATCATTGAACCTTAGCTTAAGCGCATTCCAACTACTTTTGTCCAATGTCCGCTTGAAATAGCAAAGAAAGCCGTATGAATATTTAAACCACTTCCGAGTGAGAGTTGTATCAAGAGCCCGGCGTGACAATTGCCTGGACTGCAGCTTGCCGCACCTCCTGCGTAGGGATGAAAGTGTGTGAGGACTTTTGCATATGATGCCCCAAAAGGAACATACTGCTATCTTTGGCAAAAATGGTTGCCAGTGTTTCCACAAGGGTGTGTCCAAGCTTCATCAAGTCATACAAATTTGTGTCAAACAGCCATCTCAAGCAAGCTCCCCTTGAGAGAGCCTTGGAATCAAATGCAGAAAATTGAACACCGTGCGACACACTGCACATGCTCCGATTCATCAATGTGGCTCATCTATGCAATCCTGCATCACCCCAACCCAATATGAATGAAAAAGGATTTGTTGCACATAAAAGGTGTGTTTCTCGTTGAAGACGTCTGCCCTCGAAGGTTTTGGACACACAAATACGCCGTCTTCAAGGTCAAAGCCCAACTATGTCTAGCTGCACATCGCCGTGCAGTTGCACAATGGCACAGGGCGACCACCATGGAGCTTACAGCTCTAAGTCAACCAGCACAGCACTCGTAAGTCAACCATCTACCGCTGCTTCATCCGATTCGGTCTTTTCGAGCCAGGCTTCAAATTGAAGCCGCGCTCGACCGAGAAGTTGCTGGCGCTGTTGCGCCTCCTGTTCCTGGAGCCGGTCAAGCTGCTCCTTAGCCTGTTGAAGTTCCTCCGCCTTCTCCATCGCTTTCTTGTTCAGGCTTTCAAGCTCTTCACTAAGGGAATCATGTCTCAGCTGCAGCTGGCAAATTTGAAAACGATTCTCAATCAATTCCATGCATTTCCTCCACATCTCTGAAGACCAAGTGCCTTTGGAGTTCGTTGCACCTGGCACGGCTTGGTCCTTCAAGTTGCTACCATTGCGGAGAATGACATCCATTGTGCATGCTGCAGCTGCAGCTGTTGATGCAACTGCCGTGGCAGCGGTGGAGCTCGATGACGTACTTGGAAGGAGGTCAGGCTGTAGCACCTCCGACACATTTCGAACGAAATCTCGGTATTTGAGCTTGAAAAGTTCACCTTCGCCATCTGGACAGGCAAAGAACTCCAAAAGACCACGCAAGACCCGCTCATCGTCTGATACTCCATCTGGTTGGGGTAGGTGTAGAGGAGGGGAGTGGATAGAGCCACCCACAAGTCCAAACACCTTCGCTGCCTTTGGTTGTGCTGGTGCAGACTTGGCCTGAGCCGGAGCCACACGAGGTACAGAATCCACAGCACCTCCCACCTGAGCTGGAAATTTCTGGGTGAGCTCTGCTGCCAGTTGCTCCAGCTCTCGGAAGGGCTCTAGGCCAGGGGCGATGCATTCGGCATGTGGCACTAGATCTTCTTGATCTTGTTCCTCGAGTCTGGCAAGCAGCTCCTTTTTTCGTCCATATGGTGACAGGCCGCGTTGCTCGCAAAGCCACCGAAGTTCTGGGACACGAAGCGGACCATATCCATCCATAGCGTGTCCTAAAAGCGGCCCGCTGAGCCAAGAACTTGCGAATTCGCCCATGCCCAAGCGAACAAAAGGGAACTGTTGGAGGGAAGCTTTCTGGTATCTCCAAACTAGGTGAATAATACGCGTGTGTATATATCTTTATATACATTAGCCGCGCTGTCTGCAGCCAGGCCGGCACAAAGGCAGAAATACAGTAATCCATCTTTCCTCATGCCTATTGGAATCGACCATAAGCCTCGCTTCAACCGGCATTTGCTGCCCGCCCTTGCTACTAGTAGCTTCTAGCTACTAAAAGCGATGCACTTGTTACTAATAGCGATGCACCTGCTACTAGTAGCGGGCCAATGTCCCTTTGAGATCTTAAGCATTTGGTGCTCAGTGCTGCCTTTCTATATGATTGTTTCAGAGCACGTCTCACGTGACCATCTTGCTCGAGGCATGATGGTGTGGAGAAGCATCAGGAGGACAACCGGCTGTTTCTCATGTGAGCGGCGGAGATCACCAACTCAATTTCTTGCATCGTACAAGGAGACCCTCAGTCGACATGAACTGAATTGATTCAACAGATGGAGATTGCAAAAGATTCTTGGCTCCTGCACTCCTCGACATTCCGAGTTGTGTGTGGCCGAAATCATCCAGATACGACTTCAGAAGTTGCAAGTGAAAGCAGTGGACTAAGATGCACATTGGAAGCTCCTCAACTCAGGCTTCACTGAAGACCCTCCAAATCCAGTTGAGTGATACGAGGCGCCACTCGCAATTGTCGCGATTGAACATCAACTGAACGGGCGGTCCAAGCCAGCCCTCCAGCATTCCAGAGTGGTTCCATCCAAGACTCTAACGTATGCACTCGCCAGAGGTAAGGGTCACCAGAGAATCACCTACAAGGTCGTTTCAAGCAGCCTGCTTCAAATGAACAGCCACAAAGTCAATCAAGGTGATAAGGTGATTGCCTCCCGACTATCTCCCTTTGCGACAACAAAAATGTGCGCCCGATGTGGCAGAGGAACGTGGAGTGATTAGATGGAAACGAAGTCCTCGATAGGGCGGGATTGTGCTGAAACCTTCAGAGCATCTGGCGCCCTAGTAGCGAGGCCAGGAGCCCCTAGTAGCGTCCTTGCTCCTAGTAGCGATGCTGTAATATATGTTGAATAATTTAGATGTGTGCCCGAAGCAGCTGAAGCATTCCAATGAAAAATATCACCATCCTCTGCAGGTTTGAAACCAGCCACAACTACGGAAGAACTTTGGAGTCAGCAGTGCCGCAAAGCCGACAGCGGCCGACTGCAAACAAACGGAAGAGCCAGGTCTCAAAGCTCATGGTCTCAGAACTGGTGGACGCAAGGTTGGCATCAACAGCCCTACCATCGACACTCCCAAGGTTTGCTCTTTACAAAGAGTGCCGTGGTTTTAAGCTTTGTGAAATGCACGCGATGGATACATCGACATTCTGATGACCCTAAGATGACATGGCGCATAATTGGTGGCTGAGCCACCATGCCTGTGTTGCTATGAGATCCCAAACTTCAGGGCTGCCGTTTAATTAATTAATCCTTCTCCGTTTCAATTTTGCAATGTACATGCTCCGACACGAAGGAAGTTTGTGTCTACTTGCGTTGCTGCTTTCCCTGGTTTCTTAGGTCCGCATCTATGCAATGCACTTAGTTAGATCTGCAGGATCTTCCTTTTGTAAGCTTGTACATAATGTATCATACTCGACTCAAGGCTAAAGACCAAGTGTAAGCACTCAGCCATATCATAGAGTGGAAAAGGTGCGCATTGTAGCAGAGCTCACATTCGTTCGAGTGCTTTGTTTACTTCATTGGCAACCACAGTGTTCACAATTCCAGGTCAGCAGAGTTAACGGCCACTCTGGGGAATTCTGCCCCATTAAGGACACGAGGGGAGCAGGGAACCAAAATGTCGCTTGATGCTAATCTACTAATCACCGTTTTTTATGCTGGACAGTTTTTCGATGCTCATCAAGTGTTTTTGATGCCTACAGTATCCCTTGGTTGCTTCTACTATGTGCTTCCCGGTAGCCAACTTGGACAAAGCTGGACCAAAGTCAATTAAAGTATGAAGTATGGGCACAGCGGGGCGTACTGCATCTCCATCCATGAGAGCTACGCCCACCAATGTACCGGCCTCGGCAAGACAAACCCTAATCCTGAAACCTCGTGCCTCATAATGCTGCCTCATGCCTCTCATGGCCTCTCATGGCTCATGTACAGTGCCTACTGCCAGACCAGGAGACTGGTCAACTCGTCCACATCGCACCAAGCTCAGTCACCGACCAATCTCTCCATATGGGCTGACCCCATTTGAGTTCCAATCATGGCGGCCACCTCGAAGCAAGCCCGAGGCCGAGAAGTGAAGGTGAAGAGTGAAGAATGGCAAAGCTTCTGGCTCCTAGTAGCGATGCCCTTTGCTACTAGTAGCTTCTTGCTCCTAGTAGTAAGGCCAGGAGCCCCTAGTAGCAAGGCCAGGAGCCCCTAGTAGCGTCCTTGCTCCTAGTAGCGATGTGAGGAGCCCCCAGTAGCTTCTTGTTCCTAGTAGTATGGCCAGGAGCCCCTCACTTTTTTGATTATGATTACCGGAATCGAAAAGTTATATAGGGATGTTCGCGCTCTTTTCAGCCTGCGTATCTTCGATGTGTGACC